ACATCCAGTATCATGTTAATCATGGCTTTTCATAAAGTTAGAACATACAGAACCTCATAGCCTCACACAGACTTAATGCAGCGTATCCAAGCTGTATTAGACACACAATATACCACATCCCTCCTTATAATGTTTATATGCCACAAACATCAGAGTGATTGAGACCATAGGGCTCTGTCATATAGAAGTCCCAAAACCCTAATAAAGCTACAGAAAAGACCTGAGTGTAAATGCTGTGTGCAAATGATATGACAGATGAATTATTACTCACCTGTTTTTACTATGAGATGATGGTGATTGGTAGAAGTTGACACAAATTAAGCAGACATCACAGGACAACATGGGTTAACATATGGGATGAATATAAACAGGAAAATAGACTGTGAGTTTAACACACAGGACAAGTAATACAAGTAACTGATAATGGTAAAATAGAATCAGAATAATTTGTATTGTTGAATGCTACATTCTTAAAAGTTTAAAACTACATACAAATGTGCTTTAGATGTGCAGTTCTACAAATGAGGTGTGAATTAATACATCTTGTAATGCTACAATGAAATGTATGCAGGTACACGTACAAGGACTCTCACAGGGTAGGTCACATACTTAATTTAGGGTAAAATGCATGCAAAAAATGCAGTTACAAAAACGCTATAATTTTAACTATACTTTACCTTGATAGTTTTTTGTTGTTTTTTGCTCCAAAATTATCATTAGAGTTTTTCTTTAGAGAAAGTGTTGCACGCTGTTAAAAAGAATTAAACAAAGACATGAATTAGCATTCACTGTTATATAATTACCATTCAAAAAAACTGCCATCATTTTTCAAATACCGGGTAACTCATACAAGCTTTTGAATATTTGCTCACTATCCTGCCTAAGGAAGAATAACGAGCATGCAAATTATTTTTGGGTACAGCGTAATATTTTCATATTTTTTGCGGGTATTTTAGGGAGTTGAAAAACTGTCACGGTCATATTTACTCTGTGAAACACACACATACCATCTGTATTTCAGTCCATTTTCTTAGAAAAATTATCTTTTTTTCAGCTGTCTTGAGGCACACATTGCGCCATGTATTGTCCGTAATCAAGTCCATTTTTCCCTATTTCAACCCAGGTTTGTTTTTTTGTCCCCTAATTATTTCATACTTAGTACCTTTAACAGACTATTATTTTGTGACAGAGCAATTTCTTAAAAAACCCAAACATATTTCGCACTTGCATTATCTTGTGAAAGATAAGTGTAAGTTTGAATGTAATAGCCCGAACACACTGGATTTGACAGCGGCCCGAATGAGCCGTACTGAATCATAACTTAAACTCAAGAAAAACAGTTTTAGATAATAAAAGACTGCAGATTTGCTGCATTATTATAAACATACACTAAGAATAGCCAAACTTATCAACCACTAATATCATAGAACCCATTAGGCGTGTCAGATAACGAATAGCTTCAAGCGCGAGTGCCATACTGGCATGGCTTCCATTGTTATGCACGACGAGGGATAATCCTCCGCCAAACATTACTGTCCCACTGTACACGCTGACAGTTTACAAACAAGCTAATCTTTTAAGTGTCTCTGATAAAAGATCTAATAAAACTGTTATCATGGTGAAACAAAATGGCCGATGTCCAACTTGTGTATCTCGGCAATCAACTTTGTGTTATTAATATTATTTTCTAAAAGAAAAAACTCGTAAGGCTGTGTGAATGGATTGAAACCAATGTCAATGAAAAATTAGATGGGCATATGCTCTCTGTGTAAACGGAAACGATTGCTTTGTTTTATTTGGTTGATATCGGCAAACAGCATATTTCCTGTACTTGCTTCCTCGTCTGATGTATCGATGTCGTCATCGGTTTAGTAGTTGACAATCTTTCGCGTGATACGGATACATTTGTAGTTCAACCTCCCGTTCGAACCACTCGCGATGTTGCTCGCAGATTTTGCGACTTTGCATCGCCATCTACACTTTCTTTCTGTTCCTCGTTATTGTGTTAGTAAAATGGTGTTAGTAAATAGAATATTGACTTTAAAAGATTTAAAATAAAGTTGTCAAAGTTATGGCCATATTTTTCCCGATGAAGTCTTGACTGACAATAATGCTGACAATGGATTAGATAAACACGCATTGTTTGCGACGGGAAGCTTATCACCAGTTCTATCAGAATCGTCAACAACAGATTATACAGATAAGATGTTATCATTTAAACCGTCCCAGAGATAAACATTATGCAAATATCCACGAAATGGTAATTTTGATCTTTTGAAAAGCTGGGATGATGTATCAAGGTCTAAAGTCATCGTTTTAATATTTTTTGAAAAATCAAGAAAAATTAGTTACACTTTCTCAACTCATTTTTACACATAACCTGGCAAAATATTCAATATTCGTATATACTTACAATTATATAGTTATTCCACGCGCATTGTAGCTGCATCATAAAAGGTGATGATAGACTAAGAATATAGATATGTATTTCAGCCGTCTTGGTATGATTACTTCCATAAATCACCTGCTCTGACGTCACTCTATCCTCACCACTGGTGCTATCATCACCGTTTGTTAACGTCAGCTGCATCGTCGTTGTCTGCTTTGCCTTTTGGTTTTTCTTCTCAGTTTTTTTTTTTTTCTTTTTACCCTGCTTTCCTTTATCCAAGATGACCTCTTGTCGCAAACTACGTGGCGTAGTGAGCTCCCCCGTCTCAGTCAGACTTAGTTTGAATGGTTCGGCTTTCCTTCGATCAAGCGGGTTATACTCATTCCCCCCTGGGTGGGGTAGGTTTCTATACAGGGGCTTAGCTTCTAGTGCCTCTGAGCTTTCTTGGGGATTACGAAGAGTTGTCGCTAGTGAACTGGAATATGACCGTGCTGTGTCTATTGATGGATATTCGTCAGGGTTATCTTCGGGTCGGACTGGTAAAGGCCGACATGGAAGCATTTGGGTTGTCAGATCTTCAGAAAAACGCTGATACTCCTCTATTTGCTCTCTGATATCATCATCGTCATAATCATCATCACTGTAATAATCACCATTTTGGGAAAGTTTCTTGAAATCTGATGTTGGCAGAGATAATGATAGTCTGTCTTCATCAGTACTCTCAGAACTTGACGCGAGTTTATGGAGTTCAGTCTCATTCAAACTGTACCTCAGCTTGTTACCTGTTTTCCTACTCAATGGTGTGGAGTTAGTGAGGGTGCTTCTCCAATCATTGGAACGTGCAGACGGGGGGGTGGTAGGTCTGGGTGTTCCCATTGTACTAGTGTTGTCATTTTTCAGTTCAGACGGTTCTTTCTTTTTATTGTTTTTCTCCTTTTTCTTCAATTTTGATGATATTGCAGTAGTATAGACCACACTGATGTGTTGTGTGTTGTCACGCTCCTCACCCACCAAGAAATCAGGGTAATCATGGACCTAAAACAAAGCATACCATCAAGTGACAGAACAGTGATTTATTTCAACAATTATTTTCTATCTACGGATTACACTGAATTAGGCATTTTATAAGTAAATTGAGACCCTCGCGTTACAATGGGTGAAGTGACCTTTGTGAGAAAGCATTCAAGTTGTTTTTAATAGTCATTTAAAATGTATAACAGATTTTTAAATGTTCGTTATAGAATAGGCAAAACTGCTACTGCTCTATTACTTTTCTTTGGTTAGCTGGTCAATTATGCAGCATATCATAGTACATAATGTGTTATATACATAGTGCATTACAAGAATACCTTAATCAAAGCATGTTTACTTTGATTTCCTTTTCAAAGGATATCAATATCAATATCTTTTGACATGACATTTACATACCTAGTTGCATTCACCTCTAATATACAGTGTACAATATAGCAAATACATGTACAGTAATGTATCTATGATACAGATGAAAACTAATTAATCGGATTTGACCAGCGCAACTAAAAGATTGTGTCAATATTGTAATCATGTTCTACAACATAAATTCTACTGTGAAACGGCTTACCATTTCATTTTGTCACATATGAAACTAATGAATACTATATGCAATCTTCTAGCAGCCTCTCGGCTGAGATAGCTCTACTGTTAGTAATGCACATTTTAATTAAAGAACTGAAGATATCATTAGAAAATGAACAATATGTATAGTATCAAAGCAATCAGATTGTTTTCAACAAGAATTCAAAAATATCACTTTTTACCAAAAATGACAAAAAATATTCATCAAAATTAGAGAATCAAAAATATCATCTGAGAGCGGTCCCCATGTAGTACCTATATATGTAATATCAAAGCAATTGGACTTGCGGTTTTTAACAAGAAGTAAAAAATATCACTTTTTACCAAAAATATTCATTAAACTTAAGTGTAACTAAAATACTGATTTAAATTATGAGTGTTAAAATTTGTCATCCTCATATATGCGTCTATGGAAACACTGGTTTCTAGACATGAAAACCATGAGTTTTCTGGAATTTCGGTTTAGAACCGAAATGCTGTTAGCTGTATTGTGCCAATGTGTTCAAATTATAATAGCTCATTTAAATATGTTAATGACAGTTCAGTAGCTTCATGGCAAATGCAACACGGAAGAGCTTTACCGATGTTGTTGTACGATATTTTGGCTTTGATTTTAATGACAAAACAGCCAGATTCTTTTTGAATAAAAAAATTTGAATGAACGAGCCTGACAGAGTCAAATACAAAATCCGTACCAATGTTTGCCTTCCTTACAAGACCTTCTTTTTGAGGACACAATTTAAAAAACGATTGTTGCTTGCGCACCTATAATATTTGCAGGTCTGCATCTCTCTGGAACACAGCTTTGCACTGGACCCGTGAATAAATTCAATGGTTTCCACATAGTTTGCTGGCAATGAGCAAGAATCGTGATTCCCCAGAAAGTTTTTGAGTGAAGGGGTACTATGTTGTCATGGATTAATATCAGATGATATTATGTCACTGTGATACACTTAAATTGTCAATCACAGCCGTGTGAGGGCGTTTTTATTCAGAACAATGGTGACGTACGTAGCCTTTGGGAGACATGTAATAAATTCCGTCACACACCCAACAAATACATTTCAATTAACAGCACATACACATAATGTTAGGCAACTATAAAAAATCGCAACATTGACCTTTCCTTTAAAATTGGAAAATTGAAGATATCATCATGAAATGAACAAATTTGAGAGAAGACCATCTGTAGTACCTATATGTATAATATCAAAGCAATCAGACTTGTGGTTTATCACTTTTACCAAAAATGACAAAAATATTCATCAAAATTGGAGAATTGAAATTATCATCACGAAATGAACAAATCTGAGAGGTTTACAAGTAATACCTACATTTTGTATATATGTAATATCAAAGCAATCGAACTTGCAGTTCTTAACAATAAGTCGAAAATATCACTTTTTACCAAAAATTACAAAAATATTCACCAAAATTAGAGAATTGAAGTATCATCATGAAATGAACAGATCTAAGAGAGGTCTACCCAAGGTACACACACACACAAGTAAAAAAGCTTCAGGCTTGTAGTTTTCAAGAAGAAGTCAAAAAAGTAACGGACGACAGACGACGGACGAACGCTGACAGCAATCACTCATATGATAAGCTTCACTCGACTGAGTCGACAGCGGAGCTAATCAGGTATAAACTTGGATTTGTTATGCGGCGGGCGGTAAAAAAA